GTAGCAAAATTACAGTTATGAAGTAGCAACGACAATAATTTTGTGGTTGGAGGTCACCACAACATGAGGAACTGTCTTAAAGGGCCGCGGCATTAGGAAGGTTGAGAACCACTGCTTGACGCCCTTCCAGCCTTTTTCCTACCCACTAACGTGGCACTGTGCTATCCGGACCACGTTTTGTACCAAATATAGCATGAACATGTTTCCATGTCATTTTTCAAAGAGTAATGTGCCTAGTGCGCCCCCAAAGCAAAGCAATCAGAATCAAGCAGGTTTATGCAATCCCGCGCTGCCAGGTGTTAGCAATGCCCGTGGCAAAGGCCCACAAGGGGCTCCAGTGGAGAAACCTGGCTCCCTGGCTGGGTACCTCCATCAGCCTTACCGACTCCAGGGCTCCCGCAGAACGTAACGGCTGAAAACCAGCATCCTACAGATCACCCTGGGTGAAAACTGCTCCACGACATTTGCCATGGGTGCATAACACTCCGCTGTTACACCAGAACTGAACGCTGAGATTGCTTTCAAACGTTCACCGCATAAACAAGACCACCATGCAGATTTTTGCAGCTGAATCTTTGCAGACATTCATGGTAATTCCTTGGACATGCAATTGCTTTGTCAAGGATGTGGACATTTTTAAATCTTTGTGTGTGTGTGTTTTTTTTTTTAAAGAAATGGATATGAATTGGTACTTTGAAAACCTGTTGGCAGCACTGACTAAAGTGAATGCCTGCAAACTCTATGAATTAGTTTTCCATTGCCGTATAACGAATGGCCACAAACTTAAAACCATTTGTACTCACAGTTCTGAAGTCCGACACAGTGCAACGGGGTGATCTGCTCCGGGTGTCCCAGGGCTGAAAACAAGAAGCTGGGGGACGGCGTCCTCCTTTAGGGGTTCTGGGGAGAAACCCGGGTCCTACCTCCTTCAGGTTGTTGGCAAAATTCGGGTCCTTGGGGTCCCAGGGTGAGGGGTCCTGTTTGCTGGCTGGCTGTCAGCAGAGGACCTGGGTATCACCAAGCCAGCCACGAGACAGTGAGGAACACTCCCGCTCAGACCTGGCTTCCTCCTCGGCTCCCAGCCCTTTCCTCTGGCTTTTAAAGCAGCTGGTGTGCTCACACTCAGCCCACCTGGCTCTCTCCCGCTCATAACGCTCACCTGGAAAGCCTCCTCTCGTCAGGGTGTGAAATCTGGAGGTAATCTTCAGCACTCTGCCTGAGCCTGAGAAGTTCCAATCTTAGACATGAAACCAACAAAAATGTATACATACATGTTGATCAAAATAACATGCAAAAAGAATGCTAGTAGAAACATTACTCAGATAAGCCAAAACCTGGAGAAATTCTTCAACAGTAACTGTGCTATATTCGTATGACTGAATACAGAAACGAGGATGCACAAACTGCAATGACTCACAACATGAATGAACCTCACATGCATAATGTGGAGTAAGCAGGTAACTGGGTTTTATGGAAGCCGATGGAGGGGTAACTTACCCCAGCCCAGAAAGTCGTAGAAAGCTCCTGGGGAAGGTACAGCTCTCACTACAAAGAATTACTGAATAAAATGGGGAAAGGGAGGACAAGATTGAATTTTAAATCGAAGGAATGACATGAGTAGAAGTAGCATAGCTGAATCAATTAATTAAAAGCAGATGGGTATTATGAATAGATGACAAAATGGTGGGTGAAAGTATGTGTAGAGAATTTGACAGGGGCCCAAACAAGGACCTTGCAAACCATGTTAAGATTGACCTAGCCCCAGCTGGTTTTGCTCAGTGGATAGAGCGTTGGCGTGCAGATGAAAGGTCTTGGTTTTGATTCTGGTCAAGGGCACATGCCCAGGTTGCAGGCACCATCCCCAGTGTGGGGCATGCAGGAGCAGCCAATCAATGATTCTCTCTCATCATTGATGTTTCTATCTCTCTTTCCCTCTCCCTTTCTCTTTGAAGTCAATAAAAAAATATATATATTTTTTAAAATTGACCTTAAACCAATGGGGACATGGGAGATCCTTGCAAAATGAAGGACATGGACGTGTTTATATTTGGGTTCACCGACACTGCAGCCTGGAAGACGAAGTTAAACAAGGTAAATGAGGAAATGAGACTAGTGAGGAGGCTAGTCAAGGGGTGCAGGTGAGAGAAAGGGAGGCTGAATTAGCTGGAGGGAGGGGGAGAGGGAGGAGGGGCAGTAGAAGCACACTGCCTCGTATACATCTCCCTTCCAAACATCTCTGCTCAAGGTCCTAAGAACACCTCCATTGTTTCTAATCCTTATAGCCCAATTGTCTCCTAGAAAACATGTGCCAATCTGAATTCCCACTAATAATATGCCCATCTCACCCAATTCTTGACAAAATGGTGCTTTGTTTTTTTTAATTATTTGCCAATTCCATAGGCAAATAACTGTACCTCATTATTTTATATTGTGTTTCTGACAGAAAGTGTGGTGAACATTTAAAAAAATATTGACTATTTTTGTTCATTTTGTAAAGTGTGAATTCATATCATCTACCAGATTTCTGTAAACATGTGCACATTTTGACTGTAAGAAGTGATTGCCCAGCCCTAACCAGTTTGGTTCAGTGGATAGAATGTCGGCCTGTGGATTGAAAGGTCCCAGGTTTGATTCCGGTTGAGGGCATGTACCTTGGTTGTGGGCACATCCCCAGTAGGAGGTGTGCAAGGAGGCAGCTGATTGGTGTTTCCAACTCTCTATCCCTCTCCCTTCCTCTCTGTGAAAAATCAATAAAAATATATTTTTAAAAAAGAAGGTTCATAGGTCAATGCTCAACTACTGAGCCATGCCCAGTTGAGCATTGACCTATGAAGCAGGAGGTCAGGGTTCGATTCCTGGTCAGGGCACATGCCTGGGTTGCAGGCTCAGTTCCCAGTGTGAGGTGTGCAGGAGGCAGCCAACCAGTGATTCTCTCTCATTGTTGATATTTCTATCTTTCTCCCTCTCCCTTCCTTTCTGAAATCAATAAATATATACATTCTAAAGGAAGTTATTCATTAAAAATATCCTTCGAAGTACATTTTTCCTTATCCTTACCTTTTAATTTTGTTTAGGCAAATTTCTCATTTATAATAGTTTCACATTACTAGTTAAATCTATTAATCTTTCTGGTTTTGCCTTCTATATTAGATTTGTGCATTTGAATTCTTTCCCAAATCACTATTGATAAATCTTCACCTATATTTTAAGTGCTTTACTCTTTTTAATTCTTTAATTCATATAAGATTTATTTTGGTGGATATGTTATGATGTCTCTTAAATTTTTCCCAGATAATCAATTGACTAAATACAATGGATAATTGTATGATGCTTTTCCCCATTGATTTGGAATGCCATTTATAAAATATTTTAATTTTTTACAAATTCTCATGTCTTCAAAATAGGTCTAATTCCTGTTAGGGCAACTTCTCTGCTTTAAACCTCCCAAAAGATGCTTCCATCCTTAGAATCAATCATCAAACACCATGTTATAACCTACGATACAAGGCTGCTGTGCTCTGTCCTGTACCAACCACCCCAACCTCTTATCCTTTCTTGTCCCGTTTATATTCCAGCCACCAAAATCCTGCTTGAATTCCTGCCAAACTCCTGCATTGCTCTCCTCTCTCCCTCCACATCTTTGCAGGCCTGACTCCTCCATGTCATCCAGGTCCCAAATCAGATGTTCAAGTCCCCGCGGGGAGACTCCATCGAAAATCACCTTCCCCAACCACTGGCTCTATTGTCATCAGAATGCTCATCACTATCTAAAACTATACGGATAATGTGTGTACCTGTCTATGTGTTTCCACCCACTAACATAGAAACTCTTTGTCTGTTTTTTTTTTTTTTTTTTTTTTTTTTTTTTTTTTTACCTTTATGTCCTCAGAGATAACAATGCCTAGCACTAACAGGTACTCAATAAAACGGGTCAAATGGAAATGATGCTCAGTTAGTCCATCGCTGCCCTGATGCAGGCATAAAGAGATGGATGCACCCTGACCTGTTTGGCTCAGTGGATAGAGCATCGGCCTGCAGACTGAGGGGTTCTGAGTTCGATTCCGGTCAAGGGCATGTTCCTTGGTTGCAGACACATCCCCGGCAAGGGGTGTGTGTGTGTGTGTGTGTGTGTGTGTGCAGGAGGCAGCTGATCAGTGTATCTCTCTCATTGATGTTTCTAACTATCTCTCCCTCTCTTTTCCTCTCTGTAAAAAATCAATAATGTATATATATATATATATATATATATATATATATATATATATTTTTTTTTTTTTTTTTTTTTTTTAAAGAGACGGAGGGCTGAAGTGAGCAGATACAGGTTTAATACTGTCTATACCGCCTATTTGTGTCTTTCAGCAATAAGTTTTTCATCTGAAATATGTGGATAACAGTATCTACTGAATGACCTGGAGAGCTGCTGTAAGGATTAAATGAGAGAAAAGACCTAAACACTTGGCATCGTGATGAGACTATAGTAAGACTCTACTAAGTAATAGGCAGCTAGTATATAGCTATAGAAATGATACACACACACACTTTAGTGTTCACCTTCACCGGGCTTAATGGTTCCACTGCCCCACCTCGGAGACATCAACCGGGGTGTTCTTACCACTATCATGTCTCAAAAGCACCATCTGAGTCTCTCACCTTCTCTGACCAGTTCCCACCACACCTCAGCCTGGTCTGAGCTTTATTACCCTGTTAGTGACTTACACTGTCCTGTTTATATCCCAGCCACCTTCTCTGCTCTTACCCCTGACGTCCTAACATCGCCTGAACATACACACATTCCCCTCCAGCAGCCTCCATTCCACCCCCGCCCCGGAGGCCTGTGACCAGCACGGACGCACGGGTCTGCGCAGACACCGCCCGTGCCAGGCTCCGGGCCGACACTGCTTTGCACTCTTCCTAACATCCTCTGAGCTCAGGAGGAAGAAACGACCGCTCTCGCGGCAAAAATAAGCCACCTTTAAAACACAGAAAGGCAGGACACAATGAAATCTTGATCATTTTTATTATTTTTTATTTGGACAACATATATACATATGTACAAAATACCTACTTGTCAGAATCCCCTATTATAATTTTGTTTGATTTTACAAAAACAGGACAGCAAAATAACTTAGGTCACTAATACTGTACAAAAATAAAACTGATTAAACAGTTGTAAAGATCAGTTTATCTTACAGTGTGTTACAGATCATCCGTGTGAGAGAACATCGCAGGCTATCCAGAGTGATGAGTACTGTGCTAACTCTATCTGCAAACTTACAACTAATCAGTTCCTGTAATTATAACTACCATATGTAATTCTCAAAAAAAAAAAGAAGCATGATGTAGAGACAGACCTTAACGCCAGGGCATCGTTCCGCAGTGGTGAAGGGCTCTCGTCTTCCCTAACCAAGGAGAGGAGTTACCGTAACTCTAAAACTACTAAATGTTTCCAGAATATGACAACTACTTACAGTATTAGGTAAAACAGCGTTCCTTTCTGCTTACACACCCGCAATAAGTCTTTCCAAAAATTCGGTTTGGTTAAAAAAGTAAACAAAAATTACTATCCTGCACTTGGATTTTTTTTAAAAAGTTAAATCCATGGTCTTTTTAATATAAAAAGTAATTGCTTCATGGTTTTTAGTTAAGTTCAATGAACTCTAGTAAGTCCTAGTTGAACCATATCTTCATATGGTAAATCTAATTAGAATGCTGGTTCCTGTTTTGTGACGTTTTTTTAAAACAGGATGTATCACAAAGAATACAAAGCCTTGAGTGTATACGTTACATTACTCTAACATATAAGAGTATATCAAATGTGTGTTTGTCAACACCTTGAAAAAGGCAAGGAGCAACTTTTTTTGGGAAGTGAATTGTGCATTTTTTTTTTTTTTTTTTCAAAACAAGTTGCTGCATTTACATCCATCTAAGTGCTGGACAAAAGCCACATACAGAAAACTACTCCTGAAACTACGGAGATTGTCTTTCACTGACTTTGCCTGGCTTTCCTTCCTTTCTTTCTGGGAGGGAAAGATGAGTTTGCACAAGGTGGTGGGTTGCTAGGCAACCCCCAAACTCCTCTCTCCCCAAAAGGCCGCATGCAGAGGATCCCAAGCAGAACCAGTCCATGAGCTCCGTCAGAAACGGGCAGCCTACCCTATTTCGTATGGAAGAACAGATGTCCTTAAAACTTATTTTTGGACACAAGAAATTAAAATTTGGTTTTAAAATAAGCGTTTCAAAAATCTGAAACAGAGGTAGAACGTGTTCTTTTATTTTTCCTGACATGTTTTCCCCCGTGAGAAAACACTTTCCGTTTTATCCCATGGACTGCTCCCAGTCCCTTAATGTTAAAAGCAGTTCTCTTTATAGAACTACTAATACCACTATGTTGGTTAAACACAACAAAAAGGAAAAAAAAAAAAAAGAAAAAAAAGAAAGAAAAAAGCAAAACCCACCACGTGAGCGATGGCTACTGTGTTGGAAGCAGGAGTCCACACTAGTTCTGACCCGGACACGAACCCGTGGAGGGTGAACTAACGCAGTCCGCTGGCAGGGAGGCGGCCCGGGTTTACACCACACGTCTCTTCTAGCACATGTGCAAACTCCGGGGCATTAGAGCTCCCCGTGTCAAATGCCAGATAAAATTGTCGGAAAGCGTTATTTCTGAAGAAGAAGAAGAAGAAAAAAAAAAATGTAAACATTTTCCCACCATTGCTGCTGACTCCCCCCCGCTTTGAGGTTTCTTCTTCGCTGTGAGAACGCGGCTCGTGTCTCTGGCCGTGGAAAGGCCAAAGGAAGTTTTTCAGGTACATGGCGTGTGACGGACGTAGTGGTTTGGGCCGTTGTAGACACCTGGATACAAGATACATAGTGGTGAGGCTTCGGATGTATCAAGTACAGGGATGGGCTGTCATCCGTGGGGATTCCATGTGCCGGCATGGCGGTCTCCTCTGAGATCGCCGTGGTATTGTCCCTTGGCGCTCACTACTTAGAAGGGCACGTGTTTCTTTTCACAGTTCAGCTCCCTTTTCGTTTTACATAAGCCTTGCACCTGTTAGTGGGAGTTTTGTAGGAACATGGGAAGGAGACCAACACACCTTCCCCCACCCCGGCCCCCCAAAAAACATAGGTGTTTCCAGAGCTAGCTACTGTTAGGCATCCATTCAAATAAAACCCACCAGAGTCGAAGCCCTCTCCCTTCGTGGCATTGTGGTACAATAAGGTGGTGTGAACTGAAAGAACCGGAACATTTGGAAAAGTTAAGAGTCAACATCCTGTTTGTTCTTTTTAAATTATTTAAACAACAACAACAACAACAACAAAACAACCTACCCTCCTTCTCCTTCAGCATCTATTGCATATATTTCTGCCCTCACATCCTCTGTGATTGCTTAGGGAAACGTGTATACTGTAACATAAGCAGATTATAATAACGTGGTTCCAAAAAGAAATGTCTGCTTCTATCCTTAAAGCATGAACGTAACTTATGTCATCCTCTGCATTACAAATTAAAGTGCAGCTTATGTTCTGGGAAGTACAATTCATACAAAGCAAGGTTTAAAAGTTCTGTACTTAAGTGTGTAACCTTTCCAAAGGTTTGTCTTGATTAGTATAAATTCAGACAGCTTACCCATTGACTATAAGTAACTGGTTTGTCTCCAAGTCTTTAGATGACAGGTCATGCTGGAGGAGGTGTGCTCTTGCTTGCATAAAGACAGCTGTGCTATGGCGTTGTTTGTTTGTTTTTTGTCTCAAAAGTTAACATGATTCAAGAGAGTGGTTTTGCTAAAGAAACCGAAGCACACTCGTCATTACATTAAAAGGTTTACAAAAAACAATTCTTGAGAGACAGCAAGCAGGGAGGGCCCGGAATCACTGTGATGCCACAGGTCAACTCACCCCGTCAGACATATGTACACCAGTGTCGAATCGTTAAAATTCTGCCCCAGCCTTGGCCGAACCCCACCCACGATCACTCTCCCATCCCACCTCCACCCCCCTCAAACCCCCCCCCCCAAAAAAAAAAAAATAAAGAAGGGGGGAAAAATTTTGCTTTTCCTCTAAAAGTCAGAGGCGGTTCGGAGCTCCCTTGGGCCGCAATGTGCTTTTTAAAAACAACGCGGGGAGAGGGGGAATCAGAATATGGACCAGAGAGCGGGGTTCCTGTGCTGGCGGCGGGCCTCCCGGGCCTGGGTTCCGCGTGTCTGTCCGTGGGTGGGGAGTCGTGGTGTCTGTCCGGGCCGGTCCCTCCTGGCTGCCGCGGCGGCGGCAGGTAGCACCTCACAAGGGGCTGGCCAGGGCCTTTTTGGATCGCTTGATCATGCTGGGGTGGAACTCGGTGTGGCGCCGGGCGTGCTTGGTGAGGTGGTCGCTCCTCATGAAGCGCTTCTCGCAGAGCGGGCAGCGGAACTGCTTCTCCCCGGTGTGGGTGCGGTAGTGGCGGGTCAGCTCGTCGGAGCGGGAGAACTTCTTAAGGCAGTCCGGCCACGTGCAGGGGAAGGGCCGCTCACCTGAGGGAGGCAATCAGGCAAGAGACCGTTTCAGGGACACGAAACAGAAACCCTGAAGGCCGGCGATGACCAGCAATCCCGAGGACCCAAAGGGCAAGCAAATCCCCTGCAGGGAAGTGGGATGGGATGAATGGTGTGGGCCCCCCCCCCCCATCCCCTGAGGCAGAGGCTGGAGTCCTCGCCCCCAGCTCCTGAGAATGTGGCTGCCTGTGGAGAGAAGGCCTTTAAAGAAATAGTGAAGGTTAAAAGAGGTCAGGAGACCGGGTGCTAAGCCAACGACGGGTGCCCTTGTAAGAAGAGGCGATGCCCGCTGGCCTGGGTGGCTCAGTTGGTGGGGCGACCTCCCTCCCGTGCACCAAGAGGTCCCCGGTTCCATTCCCCAGGAGGGGGCATGCAGGAGGCAGCTGACCGAAGTTTCTCTCTCACATTCATGATTCTTTCTCTCTCTCTCTCACTCCCTCCCTCAATAAAAACATTTTTTAGCCCTAACCAGTTTGGCTCAATGGATAGAGCATCAGCCTGTGCACTCAAGAGCCCCAGGTTCAATTCTGGTCAGGGGCATGTACCTGGGTTGCGGGCACATCCCCAGTGTGTGTGTGTGGGAGGCAGCTGATCAATGTTTCTCTCTCATCGATATTTCTAACTCTCTATCTTTCTCCCTTCCCCTCTGTAAAATATCAATAAAATATATTAAAAAACAAAACATTTTTTTTTAAAAAGAAGAGGAGATGAGGAAAGACCATGCAAAGACAGGCACCTCCAAGCCAGGGAGAGAGAACCCTCAGAAGAAACCACCTCTGCCAAACACCTTACTCTGGGACGTGCAGCCCCTCAAACTGAGAGAAACACGTTTCTGTTGTTGAGGCTGCCTGGGCTGTGGGGCTTAGCTATGGTGGCCCTGGAAAGCTGGTACCAGGAAGGAATAGCTGAGCATCATCTCTGAGCAAATGAGCTTGCTGTTTTGTACCCAATGGATTCCCCAAGAGCCTTGGGAATTGCTCGTTCTGGTTTATGGTACGCGGTTGCCGGCTTCATGAGATCCCCCAGAGGAGCCAAACACTCAGGCCTTTGCTTCGTGGCGTCCCAGAGATGGAAGAGAACATAGGCGTCTAGGCCAAAGGACCTCCCACCCGGAGCACATCTCCCCGAGCTCCCACCGAGGGCACAGCTGGAGATGGGAGCCACAGCAGAGCCAGCCTGCTGTCCTCAGCATCCTCGGCACACACGCCCGCCGAAGGAAAAGTTCCCTCCCTGCGGAGGCCACATTTTATAGTCATATTTTCTTCAATCTAAAAATAAGGTTGTTCCCTCTGCCACATAGTAATCCTCTAAATATCTAAAGACAGCTCACATATCGTTCCCTAATCTTTCCTTGTCTAGACTAAACAATCTGAGTGTCTTCCATATTTCTCACAGGAGAAGAACCAACATTATTCTACGTAATAGCCTAGAAGTGCAGGCACAGAGCTGAGACCATTATCTCACTGCAGTCTCACAGGATACTCCCCGGAGTTGGCCCATTTCACAGATGAGGAAACAGAGGGGTAACACTCGACAGTGGCTCCATATCCCTCCCCATCCTAGTTGCTTTCCTCAAATTCACGTTATTGTCTGTGTCCCTTGAAAATGCAGCTACACCTTGTCTTCCAGACACAGTCAGGCCAGCAAGATGGCAGGGGAGGGACCGAGTCCGTGTTTGGGGGACACGCAGCCGAAATGCAGAGCGAGCTGTCTAAGAGGAGAGTCTTGCTGGCTCCTCTAGCTCCAGGCGCCAGCCTGCTCTTCACACCTTTCCAAGCACAGCCCGGAGCAGCTGTTCCATGGGCTCAGGCACACAACTCCTGGTTCACACAGAAAACTCCAAGGCACTCCTCTGTCCTGCGAGGAGTGAATCTTTTCTCTCTCTGGTCCCCCGCCCTCCTGGAACCCAGAGACCAGAGACTCCGAAGGCTGGGAGCTGTCCAGCGTGGAGTGACTGAATCGCCCAAAGGTTTTCCTTTGCCCCAGCTCCTCCTCACCTGTGCCAGAGATGCAGAAATAATGGTAACAACAAGGCAAATCCCCATCGCCTCATGGCTGCTCTCCATGACTAAGGTTTTATCTGCTGTCCTCTGAGCAGAGCCATGGTCTTCACAGTCTCGCCAGCCCACCTGCTCTGTGGGAAAGCCCGAGTGGGCAAAACTGTATTCAATGGCCCTCCTCCTCTTATCCACAGGGATGTGTTACAAGACCCCCATGGGGGTCCGAATAGTACCAAACCCTATCCATACACTTGACAGCTTCTCTTCAGCATCTCCGAATTGCCAGCATCACTATTCCTGCACTTTGGGGCCGTTATTAACCAAAACAAGGGTAACTTGTGCTCGCTTCGGCAGCACATGTACTAAAATTGGAACGATACAGAGAAGATTAGCATGGCCCCTGTGCAAGGATGACACACAAATTTGTAAAGTGTTCCATATTTACATAATACTACTACTACTACTAATAATAATAATAATAAAAGGGTAACTTGAACGCCATCACTGCCACACTGGGACAGTCTATTGATAACTGAGAGGGTCACTAAGTGAGGAGCAGGAATGGAGCGTAGACAGTACGGACATGCTGGACAAAGAGATGATCACATCTAAGAGGAATGATGCATACAGCAGAGTAGTCAACACACCGCCCAGGATGTACACAATTTACGACTTACGAATTCTTTATTTCTGGAATATCCCAGTTAATACTGTCAGACCGCTATTGCCCGTGGGTAACTAAAACCAAAGAAAGGGAGACTGAGAAGGGGACTACCACAGGCCAGTTCGCTATATACGGGGGTCTAGGTGTAAGCCCTCACTGAGCTCGGGGCTGAAAATCCACAGCAGCAAAAGGCGACAGCGAACCAGTGAATGCTGAGCCCCACCCAGGTGGGTGAGCGCTCAGGCTAATGGTGCCTGAGCATGCACAGCGGCCTGGTAGGGGCAAAACAAACAGAAAAGCAAAGAGCTTCACACTGAACTCTGGAAAACTCAACCACGAGGAGTTGGAAACTACAATTTGATGCTTTAACTAGCATTTTCACCCAGTTCAGATCTCCAGGCAAAAGGCGAAATGCAGGTTGTCACCACCCACAAGTTTGAGCTTCCTAGGGCAAAGACAATGCCACATCTGACTGTTGTCTGCTGCGCTGCCAAACATTTAGTAACTGCTTCGACTGTGTGTGTGTGTGCGTGTGTGTGTGTGTGTGTGTGTGTGGAGTATGTTCATGCTCCAGATTGCTCACATGACCAAAGCCTGCTCAGAAGTTCCCGGATCCCTGGGCAAAACTCCTGCACTAATCCAGACTTAGACAGCAACCACGCCCTCTCTAAGCCCAATGATGTGTCTGTGGGAGAAATGTGCTTTCAAACATGCTGTGTTAAAAATACATATAAAATAAAGGAGAATAATCCAGAGAGTGGTAAGTTGTGAAAACCAAAACAAACAACAGAACTTGGTCTCTGCTCTCTCCTCACTGCAGCCCCCGCTGCCTGCTTTGCGGAGAGGAAAGGGCAGCGTTTGCTCGGTGCTTGTGAGGACAGAACCCACCAGCCGCGGTTTCCGTGGGGCCGTGGGAAGGTGGTTTAGCTTACTCAATGGCACGTGCTTCTTCCAGGTGAGTCACGAGAGGAGGTTAATTTAGGGGAATGGACTGTCTCTGTGTGGAGAAAAATGGACCAGAAGCCCACCCTGCCATGTGCTGGGATCCTAAAAGAAATAAGGCGCACCCTCTGGGGGAGGGTGGTTTTGTGGGAGTGACAGCGAGGAGGAAACTGTCCGGAAGCCCGAGTCAGCTGCATACACAGAACTACTAAGTACGGATACTCCCAGTGTATGTATCAATACATTTCAACTGTGATCAGGGTCCGTACCCCCGGAATGCACTTTCCATCGCCCCTCTGGCTACGATCTATTCCCCGCCCCTCACAGTTGTCTTCATGCGGTAGCTCTCCCTGCTGCCAACCCAGATGCTGCCACTGGCCTGGCATCCTTACCCCTGAGTGCCCCAGAGTGAAGAGAGGGCCACCCACAGAGGCCAGCGCAAGCCAGTCAACAGCAGCCTTTGTTCGGCTCATGTAACTCGGATAACTCAAGTGTACAGTTCCCAAGCGTTTAAAAAGGCGCCTCTTTGGAAGTGAGCTGCTGGTGGAAAAGCTCTGGGCTCCCTGCGATTCTCCTTGGATCCTGTGGGAAAGCAGCAGGAGCTCTTGAACAACACTCTTCATCAGGGGCTGCAAACTACGGCCCACGGGCCAGAAGCAATGGGCCACCTGGTTTTTGTCAAGTCCACCAGCTAAGAATGGGCTAAACACCATTCTTAGATTTGCTTTTTACCAAATGGTTCGGGGGTGCGGGGTGGAGAAGAAATCAAAAGAATCATATTGTGTGACAGGAGAGAGTTACATGCAGTTCACATCCATATACAAAGTTGAACTGGGACCACAGCTGGGTCTCCACGACAGCGGAAGGTTGAGGAGTTGCGACAGAGATCGTGTGGCTCACAGAGCAGAGGATATTGACTGCTGGGTCCTTTATAGGAAGCTGGCTGACTCCCGATCTCCATCTGAAGATGTGAACTTGCACCTGGGGTAAATCCAGTGTCTTCAGGAGCCAGATACACAATAAAAATGGGTGAGCCGAAACCAGTTTGGCTCAGTGGACAGAGCGTTGGCCTGCGGACTGAAAGGTCCCAGGTTCCATGATTCCCGTTAAGGGCATGTGCCTTGGTTGCGGGCACATCCCCAGTAGGGGGTATGCAGGAGGCAGCTGATCGATGATTCTCTCTCATCGATGTTTTTAACTCTCTATCCCTATCTCTTCCTCTCTGTGAAAAAATCTATAAAAAACAAAACAAAAAAAAAAAAAAAAAAAAAAAAAACGGGTGAGCCGAAAAACGGTTTGGCTCAATGGATAGAGCGTTGGCTTGGGGACTGAAGGGTCCCAGGTTCGATTCCGGCCCAGGGCATGTACCTTGG